AGAGTTTTGGTGCCACCTTTGTTTTCAGACATTTTCTGAGATATTTGAATGTATTTCCCTGTGGGAGGGAGAAATTGCTATATTTTGAAACATTAATTACAAACTACTGAGTGACTGGACAATACTTTAATATGCACTTTTAGGTTTGGATCCTATGATGTTGTTCTAGAACATTTCAGATTCTCTGGAATCATGAATGAGCAATTGTGTTGCCTATGAATAACTTACCCACATACTTCTCCATGTATAAGTAGTTTAGTTCTTTTTTGTTGTTGTTCTTTGCTGCAACCAATAAAATACTTAAATTTCAAAGATTTTTTTGTTTGTTTGAGACAGGCTTTCTCTGTATTGTTTTGGAGACTGTCCTGGAACTCACTCTGTAAACCAGGCTGGCTTCGAACTTAAAAATACTTTGAACTTGCTACAGAGAAAAGGATTGTTGGAAATACCACAGACAGAATTTTTTGAGAGAAGATTTTGATGGAGTTTCACACATTGAAAAAGAAAAAAAGATCTAAATTTTATTGAGGTAGGAACATAGGAAAAGAAGAATGTCTTAAACTCAAAGAAAGCAGGGAAAAAGAAATTACATGCTATGTACATAGATGTGCAAGCATGTTCATATGTGCCTGGGTACACACACACACACACACACACACACACACACACACACACACACACACACACACACAGTAGGAGTCCATAGAAACTGAAAACCAAATATCAAAAGGAGTTACTGAAGCCAAAAGCTGGTACTTTTGAAAGTGTGACAAAATAAAAAATCCATTAGCTCAGCTTACAAATGAAGAAGGGTACATAAGTCACTAGGAAGTGATATGAACGAGGAGGCATGCTATACATGCCAAGGTCATTTACATAGTAAAAATAATTATGTAAACAACACCATCCTCACAAAATGATAGTCTAGATCAAAGCGGCAGATTTATTTAACATACAGCATTGGCAATTACTTCAGTTGTTTTCAAATAGCCCACTTTTAATTACCCTACAGAAAAATCTAAACTGGAGTTACATGTAAATCCTGTCCATTCTATAAATAGGCAAATGGTAGGCATGAATTGATATTCTCTTCATTTCCACCTTCCCCATAAGTATATTCAGTAGTTATCCATGGCTATCTTCAGTCCCTACCTCAGGGGAATGAGAAAATTAGTCCTAGATAAGTCCTGGGCAATTACAGTATCTTTAATGAGTTATGCAGGATCTGGATTCCTCTGGGATGCAGAGCCCCTGAGTCCAGAGATGGCTAGAAGAGAACATGTAAGAAAGTATTGACTACAGAAGCTGTTTTTTCCTGCATTTAAGATGAATGAAGGTGACAAGGATCTGATGTAGGGATCAGTTATCCTCCAGTTATCCTAGATAATTGTCAGGAAGTACCTTAGTGTCTTCCAACCTATGGATCTTGCATTTCCAGTTTTGTGATAGTATGACTGACAGTTTTCAGGTATGACAACATTCTTTGTCATTTCCATACTTTGCAAAATTTTTCCATACTGTAGAAATACCTTGCTCCACAGTTGCATTGATAATCATTATTGTGATGATCAGGTTTATTACAATTACTTAAAGAGTAATTATTTTTCCATATCAACCTAATAACAACAATTTAGAGGGTAGGGACAATTCTGGAGTTGTTAAGTCTTTTTTAAAAAAACATCTTTTATTTTGGAATATTAATAAACCTTGACCAGATCCTTTATCTAAAAGAGCTCAGAAAAAGTAATGCTTGTACCTGCTCCTTACTGAAACCCATCGACCAGAGTATCAACATCACCTGAATGTCCATTTATAAAGTTGACTATTAGATTAAAAACCAGAGTCAATGTTTTCAGAGAAGCCCAGGTGAGTTGCATGTATATTAACTGATAGAACCATGTCCATGGAATATTTTTATCTGCTATTCAGGTCAAGAATGGAGGAAGTGAAATTCATCGGCAGAAGCTGCAAGCTTCAAAGGTGAAATTTGCTTTCTAATCTCTGCATATAAACCTACATGATGCATTTATTCTATTATTCTCTGCCAATAAAAACTCAGGAGTCAGATGTAAGGGGAAGAATGATTCGAGAAGCAGTGAGAAGTAACCAATGACCTCCTCACTCTCTCCTTCCTCTATCTAAAAGGGCTGAGAATCTTTCTAACCCCCTCTGTAATACTTGATGTGTCCTCCAAAACCTCTATGGCTAATTTTGGTCAGCTAGCTCTGTTCTCTAATTCAAGCCAAATTTTATTGTCAGTCTCAGGAGTATAGAAGTATGATCAAGATATCCCACAACATCGACATAAGACATGGGCCCCACTCATTCACAGAATAAGAACAATTCAGAGGAACTAGATGCAGGATTTCACCTATATTGACCTTTCCATTTTCATCCAAGATAGCTTCCAAGTGTTAAACTGTTAATGCAGTTACACTAATGACCATTAGCAGAATGGAGACTAAAGCAGCTGGACTCAGATAGTGTCATGGAAGGATGTCCCATCTCTCTGTGTGTTGTTCATTTTCTTCTATTTTTTCAGCTAGAGATGTAACTTAGGGCCTTGGGTATGCTATACAGCTATAGTATCACTGGGATAAATGACTAGGCTCTGTTCCTACATCTCTTCGTGTTTCTCTTAACTTATTTGCAAGCTTTGATGTAGACTAGAGTGGTTCATTAGACAGAGTTATCTAGAAGAAAAGAGAACAGGACAAGGAATTGCCTTTTAAAGATACAATTCACCTACGTGGGAACTGATAAGTCCAAAAGCTGCTGACCAGAGACCCTGGGAAGAGTGGAGGCTACAGTCTTAAATCTGAGGCAGTCTAGATGAGTTTTCTCAAGAGATTGTAGATTTTCTGTTTCTTTCTGCAACTATTTGCATGAGGATCATCACATTATGAAGAGTTACAATTACTTTACAATGACTTAATATTAATTGCTAATTTAATGTTGATAACAGTGTAAAACACATTCATAGAAATTTTCAGAAGTATAATTTAACCAAAAGTGTGATCAAGACCTATACCAGTTCCTGTTATAATTACCTATAAAGTTACACATGCCTATCTTAAGCTGAAGTCAAGAGAAGGGTGAAAATAATTGCTACCTCATAAAAATGTTCATCATATTTATTTTCCTACATCACTATCAGTTGAGTCATATGAAATGAAGCATAACATGATGAGTAATTAGTATTATTGAAATGAGCCTTGCATCTTACCCACCCTAATACTTTCCATCAATACACAGTTGCGTCTGTAAAGATAATCACAAACTATCAAATTTTCAATCTAAACTGTCAAGTTTAATGACTTTATATTCTGAGGATATTGAAGAATAATAATTATTTGGATTTAATGTGCATTTCTTGCTTAAATTTGAAAGAGTCTTTGTCTCAGGATATAGCACCACCAAGAAATCTTCATGAACACTGAGTCACATCCAGGCAGGGCTGGCCCTGTTGTAGCATGTGGGCAGGCATGATCTTTCCTACATTAAGTTACAGTCTGGTAACAACAGCAATGAACCAGTAATTAGGGCCATCAGTAGCTTTGAGATGAGTGCAAGATGCAGACGGAACATGGCAATAGATCTTACTGTGTGTAGAGACATGAGCAAACTTTAACTTAGTATATGGCATATCACATTGTGAACATAAGTGGGACAAGTCACACCACAGAGGAAAGCATGTAATAGGTAAAACAAGCATCAAATCAGAAATGATGGAGGCACAAACTTCAATTGGTAACACAGCATTGCAGAAGAGAAGCATGTAAGCACTGTGTAAGCCCATAATGGTTGGTAAATGTCAGAAAAACAAGCTTCAGTTGTACACATGATAGGAATTTTGTTCTTAAGAACAAGATGGTCATTTGAGGAATAAATCAGAAAAGAAAGAATTGTATTTCCATCTCAGAATGCTAGTGTGGATTAAACATAATGAAGAAACCAGTGGTTATACATGGGACACAGAACATGTGTTGGAATTGAATACTGACTTCAATATTTCAGACAGGAGGTGATGGCATCCATTTCTAAGGATATGATTGTCTGGCTCTAAATGCCTGTGAAAGAAGAGGATTAAGATGAGAAGCTATATGTTGTGCTAGATTAGAGTTCAAGGTAAGAAAAATGCAATAAAACTTGCATGTTGGATCTTGAATCAATTTTATTGTATTATGAGAAACAAGAGTCATGGGAGATAGGTGTTGGGAAAGAGAGGATTAATTTTCTCTTGGGATGAATTGAGCCACAGAAGCCTGTGTGTGGGGGGGAACATAGAATATGCTTAGTCAGCAATAAGGCAGAGAATTCTGTAGGGTAGAGAAACAGCTATATCTAACTTTTAATGGATAATCTAACAGATGAAGGTATATGTGTTTTCTTGGGGCTTATATAAAATTAAGAGAAGCAGGTACATACCAACTATTTAAGAAAACAGAAAAAACATACAAAATGGGGTGAACTGTAGATGCCCAGAATAAGTAGGCAGATAGGAGAGAGATATGTCAATACATAGTGTATATCAGTAACTACTAAGAGTGATTAAACAATACTAGATTATTAGAGCATGCTAAGGCAACATTAGAAAAGCCTTTCATGACTATAATGATTGAACATACTTGGATTTAGAGATTACAATACCTTTGATGAGAGTAATATTAATTACTGAAAAACATGAAACTCACCATATGTGCCCAAATATGTCTGTTTTCACTGAGATGTGGAGGATTGGGGGAGCAGTTGTCAGCAGAGTATTTAGGAAAGGGTTAGCATGGCATCACCTAGCAAGAACAATTAAAGAAGTGAAGAGATCAAGGTTATTCCATGCCACAGTGAAGCAAAGAATATAAAAATTACAAAATTTCAAAAAAATTATTTCTAAAGGAAACAAATGAGACTGAAGAATAGAATTGATCTATCTCACACATGCTCAACCATGGAGAGTTTCCAAAACTGTTAATTATATTTCTTAAAGCATTTGGAGGCAGATCATGAGTGGAAACAACCAAACTATCATCTCCCAGTTCCTTCTCCTGGGCCTGACCATCCCCCCAGAGCACCAGCACCTGTTCTATGTCCTGTTCCTGGCCATGTACCTCACCACAGTCCTGGGTAACCTCATCATCATCATCCTCGTTCTACTGGACTCCAATCTCCACACACCCATGTACTTGTTTCTCAGCAACTTGTCCTTCTCTGACCTCTGCTTTTCCTCTGTCACAATGCCAAAATTGCTGCAGGACATGCAGAGCCAAGTTCCATCCATTCCCTATGCAGGTTGCCTGACACAAATGTATTTTTTAATGTTTTTTGGAGATATGGAGAGTTTCCTTCTTGTGGTCATGGCCTATGATCGCTATGTGGCCATCTGTTTTCCCCTTCATTACATCAGCATCATGAGCCCCAGGCTCTGTGCTTGTCTGTTGTTGCCACTTTGGATGTTGGCCACATCCAATGCAATGATGCACACTCTGCTCATGGCTAGATTATCTTTTTGTGAGAACAATGTGATCCCCCACTTTTTTTGTGACTCATTGGCTCTCTTGAAGCTGGCATGCACAGATACCTACATTAACGACTTAATGATATTTATCATGAGTGGTTTCATTGGTGTTGCACCATTACTACTCATTGTTATGTCCTATGCAAGGATTATCTTTTCTATTGTCAAGGTTCATTCAACCCAAGGCATTCACAAACTTTTCTCCACATGCGGTTCCCACCTGTCGGTGGTGACTCTGTTCTATGGGACAGTTATTGGTGTTTACGTATGTCCATCAGCTGATAACTCTACAGTGAAAGAGACTACCATGGCTATGATGTACACAGTGGTGACTCCCATGCTGAACCCCTTCATCTACAGCCTGAGAAACAAAGACATAAAAAGGGCTCTGATAAAATTTATCTGCATTAAGAAAATCTCTTAATGGTAGCACATGGGATTTTTTTTACCTTATTTTATGTAATAATTATAAAGATGCTAATATTTTAAGCAGATGTTGTTCTATCATCATATAATCTAAATAAAGAGCATGCTATAATTGTTCAATACATGGAAGATAAGAAATGTCGAATGTTAAAGTTTGAAAGATTTTCTTTATATCTGGCTACATCTTCCTCCTTACCTTGCATAAATGATCCTGGAAACAGACAGCAGAAGACATATTATCTAAAATATGATCTCCATTCCTTACATTCTTAAGCACCTGCAAAATTTTAACATTTTACCCTGATCTCCATGTTCACTGTAGTTATGACACTCCATAACAATGAAATCTCTCCACCATCCAGCTTCCTTACAATATTTTCTATAGGTACTTTTACACAGATTTTGACATCATTTTTTTATTTACATTTCTTTGCTATCTTTCCTGATTACTCTTGACAACAGTGTCATTTATGTAAGTTTTATCTTAATTTAAAATTGATAGATAACCAAGGACCATTCAATTTATTTCACTAGGATAAGGGAAAAAGAATGAAAGCTAGAAGCTGGTAATGCCTCATGTATGTTTCATATTTTACATTGTAGAATTTACATTTATAGTGGATGCCTTTATTTTAGCCTTGTTACAATGTCAAGGAAATAGAGGAAGTTCTGTTTCACAGACTGAATACTGTGAAGTTCAGTGACTTCCCATATCACACCAAGGGGCAATGGTTGAATGTGTATTAGATCTTAGACCAATTACACTCTTTTGTCTCATTTCTTTTCTTTAGAAAGAGGAATGCTTCTTGAGTTCTTTGTAAATTTTGGAGATCAGCCCTCTGTTAGATATGGGGTTAGTGAATATATTTTCCCATTTTGTGGGCTGCCATTTTGTCTTGTTGACTGAATCCTTTGCCTTACAGAAGGTTCTCAGTTTCTGGAGGTCCCATTTATTAATTGTTAATATCAGTGTTTTTGTTACTGGTGTTATGTTCAGAAAGTAGTCTCCTGTCTCAATTCATTTCAGGGTACCTCCCAATTTCTTTTCTAAGAGGTTCAGTGTGGCTAGATTTATGTTGAGGTTTTTGATCCATTTGGACTTAAGTTTTATACATGGCAATAGACATGGATCTATATGCCGTCTTCTACATGCCAGCATCCAGTTCTGCTAGCACCATTTGTTGAAGATGCTTTCTTTTTCCATTGTATAGTTTTAGCTTCTTTGTCAAAAATCAGGTGTTCGTAGGTGTGTGGATTGATATCAATTTGATTCCATTGGTCTACCTGTCTGTCTTTGTGCCACTACCAAGCTGTTTTCAAGACTATAGCTCTATAATAGAGCTTGAAGTCAGGGATTGTGATGACTCCAGAAGTTCCTTTATTGTATAGGGTTGTTTTGGCTATCTTGGGTCTTTGTTTTTCCTTATAAAATTGATTATTGTTCTTTCAAGATCTGTGAAGAATTGCAATGGTATTTGATGGGGATTGCATTGAATCTGTAGATTGCTTTTGGTAAGATTGACATTTTTACTGTGTTGATCCTACCTATCCAAGAGCATGGGAGATCTTTCTATTTTCTGGAATCTTCTTTACTTTCTTTCTTTAAAGACTGAAAGTTCTTGCTATACGGGTCTTCCACTTGTTTGGTTAGCATTTCTCCAAGATATTGTATGTTGTTTATGGCTATTGTAAAGGAATATGTTCCTTTGATTTCATTCTCAGTCCATTTATTGTTTGTATATAATAGGTCTACTGATTTTTTTAGTTAATCTTGTATTCTGCCACTTTGCTGAGGTGTTTATCAGCTGTAGGAGTTCCCTGGTAGAATTTTTTGGGTCACTTGTGTAAACTATCATATCATCTGCAAATAGTGAAAGTTTGACTTCTTCCTTTCCAATTTGTATCCCCTTGATCTCCTTTTGTTGTCTTATTGCTTTAGCTAGAAATTCAAGTACAATATTGAAGAGATATGGAAAGAGTGGGCAGCCTTGTCTTGTTTCTGATTTTAAAGAAATTGCATTGAGTTTCTCTCCATTTAGTTTGATGTTGATTGTTGGTTTACTGTATATTGCTTTTATTATGTTCAGGCTTGTTCAATATATCCCCGATCTCTCCAGGACCATTATCATGAAGGGGTGTTGGATTTTGTCAAAGGCTTTTTTTGGCATCAAGTGAGATGACCAAGTAGTTTTTGTTTTGCATGGTGGATTATGCTGATAGATGTTTAAAAACTTTATTATATATGCTTTTATTAGTTAGTTGAGAATTTCACGCAAAGTGTTTTGACCATATTCTTACCTTCTTCCTTCTATTTCCAGATCTATGCTCCTTCCTACCACTTTGTGTCCTTTTCTGTGTTGTTTTAACCCATCAAGTCTAATTTGTGCTGCCCAAATATTCTTTGATATGGGTCCTTCCACTGGCATATGGTCAGCTTAATGGGACTACACTGTATGAGCAAACTGTTCCCCCATTCTTGTGAATAGCTCATTGAGTGGGTAGGATTTCATGCTTACTACTTCTCTCCATGCTGGGACTTGGACTTTCTTGGCTTATGCAGGTTATGTATGTTATCACAACTACTGTGAGTTTATGCATGCAGCTAGCACATTGTAATCAGAAAACGCTGTTTCCTTGTAATTATAAACTACTTTAATATTCCTACCCTCTTTTCCTCAATGATTTCTGTGCCCTGGAAAGAGGATATTTGCTATAAATGTTTCCTTATCTGTAGTTGGGCTTTCTTTTTTAGTATTTTATTATTATTATTATTTATTTTTATGTTTAAATTTAGATTAGAAACAAGGTTGCTTCACAAGTCAGTTCCAGGTCCCTCTCCCTTTCCCTCCCATCGCCCCGTGCCTTCCTCCCAACCCCCCCATTATCCCCTCATTTCCCCAGGGAGGGTGAGGCCCTCCATGGGGGGTGTCCATAGTCTGTCATTTCATCCAGGGCAGGGACTAGACCCTACCCCAAGAATTCAGGGTGAGAGTGCATCTCACATTGTTGGATGAGAGTCCAAATTCCATGTGTATACTCGGGATGAATACTGATCTACTGCACAAGGCTCAATAGATTACGTAGGCCTCCTCACTGACACCCACATTCAGAGGGTCTTGATCAGACCCATGCTGGATTCCCAGGCATCAGCCTGGGATTCAAGAATTAGCCTTTGTCAGGTCAGCTGTTTCTGGGGGTTAAACCAGCCCAGTCTTAATCCCTTTGGTCATCAGTCCTCCCTCTCTGTTACTGGCTTTATTGAGTTCAGCTCAGTGCTTAGCCATGGGAGTGTGCCTCTTCCATCAGCCACTGAATGAAGTTTCTGTTTCCCAGACTCTCTGGCCATGGGATTGTAGGCTGGCAAAACCCTTCTGCTTCTATTGTGTGGAATACTTTGCGAAGAATTGGTATAAGCTGTTCTTTGAATTTCTGGTAGAATTCTGCACAGAGGCCATCTGGACTTGGGCTTTTTTTTTGGTTGGGAGACTTTTGATGACTGCTTCTATTTCCATAGGGGTTATAGGTCTATTTAAATTGCTTATATGTTCTTGATTTAATTGTGACAAGTGATAGCTATCCAGAAAGTCATCCATATCCTATAAATTTTCAAATTTTGTGGAGTACAGGTTTTCAAAGTATGACCTGATGATTCTCTGAATTTCCTCAGAGTCTGTTGTTATGTCCCCCTTTTCATTTCTGATTTTGTTAATTTGCATGTTCACTCTCTGCTGTTTCATAAGTTTGGACAAAGGTTTGTCTATCTTGTTGATTTTCTCAAAGAACCAACTCTTTGTTGCATTGATTCTTTGTATTGTTTTCCTAGTTTCTACTTTATTGATTTCAGCCCTCAATTTGATTATTTCCTGTCATCTACTCCTCCTGGGGGAGTTTGCTTCTTTGTGTTCTAGAGCTTTCAGCTGTGCTGTTAATTCTCTAGTATAACTGTTCTCCAGTTTCTTCATGTGGGCACTTAGTGCTATGAACTTCCCCCCGTAGCACTGCTTTCAAAGTGTCCCATAGGTTTGGGTATGTTGTGTCTTCATTCTCATTGAATTCTAGGAAGACTTTAATTTCTGTTTTTATTTCTTCTTTGATCCAGGAATGGTGCAGTTGTGCATTATTCAATTTCCATGAGTTTGTAGGTTTTCTGTTATTTATGTTATTGTTGAATTCTAATTTTAAAGCATGGTGATTTGATAAGATGCATGGACTTATTCCAATTTTTTGAAGCTGCTGAGGTTGGATATGTTGCCAAGTATGTGGTCGATTTTTGAGAAGGTTCCATGTGGTGGTGAGAAGGTATATTCTTTTTATGTGGATTAAATGTTCTATAGATGTCTGTTAATCTCAGTTGGGTCATTACTTCTTTAGACCCTTTGCTTCTTTGTTGAGTTTCTGTCTGGAATTCCTGTCTAGTCATGAGAGTGGTGTGCTGAAATCTCCCACTATAAGTGTGTGGGGCTTTGTATGTGATTTGAGTTTTAATAATGTTTCTTTTACGAACGTGGATGCCTTTGTATTTGGGGCATAGATGTTCAGGATAGACACTTCATCTCGGTGGATTTCGCCTGTGATGATTATGTAATGACCCCCTTCATCTCTTTTGATTGATTTTATTTTAAAGTCTAATTTGTTAGATATTAGGATTGCTACCCCTGCTTGTTTCTTGGGTCCATTTTATTGGAAAAAATTTTCCCAACCTTTAACTCTCAGGTAATGTCTGTCTTTGAGGGTGAGGTGTGTTTCTTGTATGCCACAGAAGGAAGGGTTCCGTCTTCGAATCCATTCTGCTAGCCTGTGTCATTTTATGGGTGAGTTAAGGCCATTAAAGTTGAGGGATACTAATGACCATTGATTGCTCATTCTTGTTCGATTTGCAATGGTTGTTGTTGGTGGCATTATATGTGGAATTTCACCCCTTTGTTCTTTTGGCTGTTGGTAGAGAGGGATTCTCTAATGCCTATGTTTTTCTGGTTGTAGTTAACTTCCTTGGCTTGG